GGTACATCCTCAGTCTTTCAAATGTACATTTTGGCTGTGGTTATCTTTCAAAAAAATTTTTTAGAGCAATTTTTGAGAAACCATGGATAAGTTAAAATTCTTGTGATTTTTGAATATGAGTTCTATTGTGGAACCAATTCAGTGCAGACAGTTTGAAATATCAGTGAAGTGTTTGGGAAAGATGTGGCTAATGAACGCACAGCACAGTATATCAATGGTTTGAGAAGTTCCATTCTGGTAATTTTAATCTTTTTTTTTATTTCAGGAAATTATGAGAGTACAAACATTTTGGTTACATTTTATATCTTTGCCCATCCCTAGCAAGGGTTAGAGGTATACCCTTCCCCTCTACAATGCTCAATGCATCCCTCAATTGTGAGTCTACCTCTCCCAACCCCCAATCCCTGGAGAATATCACCACCCTTTGAGCACCATAGTGTTAATCAGTCAGTACCAATTTGATGGCGAGTACATGTGGAGCCCATTCTTCCGATCTTGTGTCACCCTCACTTAGGAAAATGGGCTCAAATTCAATCCAGGAAAATATAAGCAGTGCTAGATCACTGTCGTTTCTTATAATTAATATTCCATTTTATACATATACCAAATTTTAATTTTCCACTCATGAATTGACGGGCAATTGAGTTGTTTCCATATCCTTGCAATAGTGAATTTTGCTGCCATAAACATTCAGGTGCAGATGTCTGTATTATAGAGTGTCTTTTGCTGTTTTAGGTAGATGCCTAATAATGCTATTGCTGGATCGAATGGTATTTCTATTTTTAGCTCTTTGAGGTATCTCCAAATTCTTTTCCGCAGAGGTTGTACTAATTTGCAGTTCCACCAGCAGTGTAAGAGTGTTCCTGTCTCTCCACATCCTCGCCAGCATTTGTTGTTTAGGGATATTTTGATAGAGGCCAATCTCACTGGGGTTAGGTGATATCTCATTGTGGCTTTGATTTGCATTTCTCTAATGACTAGAGATGTTGAACATTTTTTGTATGTTTGCTGGCCATTGTTCTGTCTTCTTTTGAAAAGTTTCTGTTTGAGTCCTTTGCCCATTTATTGATGGAGTTTTTTTATTTTTTTCTTGTTGATTCTTTTAAATTTTAGATAGATTCTTGTTATCAGACCTTTATCAGATGTGTAGAGGGCAAATATTTTCTCCCATTGTGTAGGTTGTCTATTCACTCTATTGATAATTTCCTTGGCTGTGCAGAAGTTTTTAATTGGATCAGATCCCATTTATTTTTGTTGCAGCAGTGATTGCTTTGGGGATCTTCTTCAAAAATTATTTGCCTAGGCCGATGTCTGATAGGATCTTCCCAACATCTTCTTCTAGAATTATTAAGGCTTCATGCTTTAGGTTTAAGTCTGTTATCTATCTTTAGTGGACTTTTGTGAGAGGTAGGGATCAAGTTTCATTCTTCTGCATGTAACTATCCAGTTTTCCCAGCACCATTTATTGAAAAGAGATTCTTTTCCCCAGTGTAAATTTTTGTGTGCTTTTTCAAAGATTAGATTACCATATGCAGATGGTTTCATCTCTGGAATCTCAGTACTGTTTCAAAGATCCATGTCTCTGTTCCTGTGCCAGTCCCAAGCTGTTTTAATTATTATTGCTTTGTAGTATAGTTTGAAGTCTGGAAGACCACTACCTCCCACTTTGTTCTTTTTACTTAAGATTGCTTTGGCTATACGAGGTCTTTTCTGGTTCTATACAAAGTGAAGAATTATTTTTTTCTAGATCTATAAATAATGATGATGGTACTTTGATGGAGATTCCATCAATTCTGTAGATCAGTTTAGGTAATATTGACATTTTAACGATATTGATTCTACCAATCCATGAACAAGGTAGATTTTCCCATTTGTTTACATCTTCTACAATTTCTTTTTTTAGTGTTTCACAGTTCTCCTTGTATATGTCTCTCATATCTTTCGTTAAATATGTTACTAGATATTTAATTTTCTTTGGGGCTATAGTAAAAGGTATTGAATTTTTTATTTGAATTTCAGGTTGACTGTTATTGGCATATATGAATGCCTCTGATTTGTGTGTATTGATTTTGTAACCTGAGACTTTAGTGAATTCGTTTATCAAATCTAGTAGTCTCTTGGACGAATCCTTGGGGTTTTATAGATATAATATGTCATCAGCAAAGAGCGAGAGTTTGATCTCCTCTGCTCCCACTTGGATGCCCTTAATATCCCTCTCTTGCCTGATTGCTATAACTAGGAATCCGAGCACTATGTTGAATAGAAGTAGAGATAGTGGACATCCCTGTCTAGTTCTGGTTCGAAGTGGGAATGGTTTCAATTTTTCCCCATTCAATATGATATTGGCCATGGGTCTGTCATGAATGGACTTGATAATATTAAGGAATGAGCCATCTATGCCTACTTTGTTAAGGGTTTTTATCTTAAAGGTGTGTTCAACTTTGTCAAATGCTTTTTCTGCATCTATTGACAGAATCATATGGTCTTTGTTCTTGATTTTATTTATGAAGTGAATTGCATTTATAGACTTGCGTATATTGAACAAGCCTTACATCCCTGGAATAAAGCCTACCTGGTGATGGTGAATTATTTTTTTGATGTCCTGCTGAATTCTATTGGCTAAACATTTTGTTGAGGATTTTTGCATGTTATATTCATGAGGGATATTGGTCTGTAATTTTCTTTTTTTGTTATGTCTTTTTCTGGCTTTGGTATCAAGGTGATATTGGCTTCATAGAGTGATTTAGGAAGGATACCATCTTTCTTAGTGTTGTGGAATAATTTCTGTAGCATAGGTATGAGTTCTTCTTTGTATGTTTGGTAAAACTCTGAATTGTAGCCATTTGGTCTGGGACTTTTCCATTTTGGCAGGTTTTTAATTGCTGCTCCAATTTCTGAGCTTGAGATTGGTCTATTAAAAAATTTTGTGTATCTTTTCAAATTTGAAAAAACCAGCTTCTAGTTTTGTTGATATTCTATATAATTCTCTTGTTCTTAATTTAATTTAGTTCTTCTTTGATCTTAGTTATTTCTTTTCTCCTGCTAGGATTGGAATGGCTTTGCTCTTCCTTTTCCAATTTCTTGAGTCTATTTATTAGCTTGTCAGTTTCCAAGCTATCTGGTTTTTGGATGTGAGCATTTATTGTTATTAGTTTTCCTCTCAGGTATGCTTTTGCTGTATCCCACAGGTTTTGATAACTAGTGTCTCCATTATCATTTAGTTTGAAGAAACTCTTGATTTCCCTCTGAATTTCCTCCTTGATCCAATAATTATTCAATAATAGGTTGTTTAGTTTCCATGACTTTGTGAAGTGGTGAGTGTTTCTGTAGTAATTGAGTTCTAATTTTATACCACTGTGGTCAGAGAAGGCACATGGTATAATTTCTATTTTTTGAATTTGTTGATCTGATTTTTGGCGTAGTATGTGATCAGTTTTTGGAATAGGTTCCATGGGCTGCTGAGAAGAATGTAAATTCAAGTTTATTTGGATGGAATGTTCTGTAGAGATCTGTCGGTCCTTCTTGTTGAAGAGCTCCATTTAAATTAATTATTTCTTTGCTTATTTTCTGTTTTGAGGTTCTATCCAGTTCATTCAGTGGAGTGTTGAAGTCCCTTGCTACTATGGCATTATGGTTTAACATGCTATTTAGATCAGACAAGGTTTGCTTTGTGTAATTGGGTCTTCCTGCATTGGGTACATAAATGTTAAGAATTTTTAAATCTTCTTGGGGATCTTCCCTTTCACCATTATATAGTGGCCATCTTTATCCTCTTTTACTTTTGCTATATTAAAGCTTATGTTATCTGAAAGTAGTGTGTCTACCCCTGATTTCTTTTGTCTTCCATTTGCCTGGATGATAGTTTCCCATCCCTTGATATTCAGCTGAAAGGCATCTTTGTGAGTTAGATTTGTTTCATGTAGACAGAAGATACTAGGCTTGTAGGTTTTTATCCACTCTGGCAGTCTATGTCTTTTCAGAGGACAGTTTAAGCCATTTACATTTATTGAGAGAATTGAAATTTGAGGAAGATTTCCATTCATATTGTTGGGTGAAATCCTGTTGTTTTGTTTTACTGCTTGAGCCATCATTCAGTCCATGTTATATCCTTTAACTCTTGATTGATTTTCCTTTGAGGAGTGCCTATTGCTATGTTCGGTGTGTAAGGCTGGTCTGAGTACTTCCTGTAGGGCTGGTCTGGTTTTTGCAGACTCCTTCAGTGATTGCTTGTTTGAGAAGGACTTTATTTCTCCCTCATAGATGAAACTTAGTTTTTCTGGATATAGCATTCTAGGTTGGGCATTATTCTATTTTAGAAGATTAAGGATAGGCACCCAGTCCCTTCCAGCTTGTACAGTTTCAGGTGAGAGATCTGCGGTTAGTCTGATAGGTTTTCCTTTGTAGTTTATTTGTTTCTTTTGTCTTGCTGCACAGAGGATTGCTTCTTTCACATTTACTTTGATCAGCCTAATAACCACATGATGAGGTGATTGCCCTTTCACATTGAGTCTCCCAGAAGTTCTGTGTGCTTCTTGTATCTGGATATCAAGATTTATGGCCAGGCCCAGCATATTTTCCTCCAGCATTCCGTGAAATAAGTTTTCCAGCCCTTGTGAATTTTCTTTTTCCCCCTCTAGGATCCCAATAAATCTGAGATTTGGCTTCTTTACATAACCCCACATTTCTTGTAAGCTTTGATCTTATCGCTTATTTCTGTGTTCCCTTTCTTCCTCTAATTTTTTAGCACATAGGCATTACCTTCAAGCTCTGAAATTCTTTCCTCTGCATGATCCATTCTGTTCTTGATGCTTTCCACTGTATTTTAGAGTTCCTTGAATGTTTCCTTCATTGCCATGATATCTGTTTGGTTTTTCTGTAAAATTTCAATTTGTTTGAAGAATTTTTTATTGATCTCCTGAATTGTTCTTGTGGTTTCTCTATGTTGGGATTCTATTTTCTCTTAAATTCCATTGAGTTTTCTAACAATCCATATTCTGAATTCTTCCTCTGTCAGTTTAATCATATCATGTAAGTTGGTGTCAGTTGGTGGAGATCTAGTATTTTCTTTTGGAGGTGATTTTTCTATCTGATCTTTCATGTTTTCTGTGATCTTTCACTAGTTCTTTCCCATGAGGCTACTTTTTCAAGGACCTGAAGGTGCTGGGAATGATTTATGGACTAAATTCTGGGATTTCAAAGGGACGTTCTTTGACAGAGCTGGAGAGATGTGCTCTGGTCCTGTATTGTCTTAGAGGAGTTTGAGCCTGTTGTGTTAACTTTGACCTGTTATTTTCACCTTCTGCTTATAGACTTTAGTGAGTTTGGACGGCTTGCTTAGACACCCAGGTGTTGGACTACTCTTGTGAGAGTGAGTCTGCTATCAATCATTAGTTTGAGGTGGGAGTCATTGTGTTTAGCTGAGTTTACTCTCTCTTTTGTTGCTTGTGGTTTCGTGGAGGAGTTGATTATAAAGGTATTCCAAAATTTTTGTATTGTGCTCTAATCCTCCAAATGGGATATATAGGTATCTCAGTCTTTGGGGAATGTCCTGCCACTCCTGAGGGTTCCTTTAGTCCTGTTTCCACTTTAGGTGGGGTGAGAAGAGCAACAGATATCAGCAAACCTAAAAGAGAATACTTGAGAGGTTGCTTAATCTGTAGTTAGGGGGGAGCTGCTAATTTGTTATTCAGAGTTCTTTCACCATTCTTGTGGAGTAGCTCCTGGTGAGGGGAGTCAATTTGTGCAATTGGTAAGGACCGTGGTCAAGATTTTGCTTCCCGAACCACAAGCGCCTAAGTTGGGAACTGCCTAGGTGACAAGGCAAGCCCTTGTGTTCTGATCTTATCAGATGATCAAAACCAACCTGCTGTACATATTCATCACTCTGTCCCCTTTTGCTTAGTTCCAAGGTCCCACAGATTCAAGCTAGTAATACAGGGAAAGAGACTTTTCTCCTCTCTCCTTACCTTCCAGGGCTGAGTCTGTCTTAGTGAGCTGGGTGAGGAGGTGTTGAGTGAGACTGCCACAAGTCCTAGCCTGGAAAACGTCATTTCTCGTTTTTTCCCTCCTCCAAGGGCAGAGTCTGCCCTGCCAGAGGGGAGGATAATCCACCGGCCTGGGGGAAGGGCACTTCCTAGGGCTACCAGGCATCTCAGCCCAGGAAGTGGTTACTCTTGTTCCTTTGCCCCTCCAAGGGCAGGGTTTATCTAGTTGATCAGTAGCATAAACCTCAGGGCTATAAGGGAAGCCCTTCCCAAGGCTACTGAGGGTCCCATACCAGAGAGAGCCTGCCTTGCTGCTCCACGCCTGTGGAAGTGCAGTCAGTCCCTTCCGCACTCAACCACAGTGGTCTGGTCATAGCCAAGGGCCATCCGCAACCCCGACAGATCTCATCCCAGAAAGTGGACTCCCTCACCCCTCCAGACTTCCAAGGAATGGGTCCATCCCTTTGGCAGGAGGCACCAGCTACCAAGTCACAGTAAAGAGGAGAACACAGGTCACAGCTTGAAAGGCCACCCTGATAAGCTGCTACTACCCCCTTTCAGCAGCCAGCGGGGAAGAGGAAGCAAAGCAGAGGTAGTAGTCTTTCGTGCCGTGGTCCATGGTTTTGGCTTGTACAACAGCCTCTTTCTCAACTCCGCCCAGGGAAGGAGTCTGTCCCTTTGGCGCGAAGCACCTGGCCGAGTTGCAGGAGAGTGTGGGTCGTAATGTCTCCCCGATCACAGCTAGAAAAGCAGTCTACTTCACAACTCTGCCCTGCTAAGCTGGGCTCTGTTCTTTTGGCCTGAAACGCAGGCGGCTGGGTGGGACAGGGGATCACCTGAGTCCACTAGGCAATTCAGCTGAGAGAGCGACCCCTCACCCCCTTCCGTCCCCTGAAAGGCGAAGCCCAAGCCGCTGGGATGGAAAGACCCTGGCAGGGCTGTGGGGAAAAACGGCTTATCTCATTATCCCCTCTTCCAAGTGCCAGATATGCCCAGCCTGGCCAGGGTAGGGGGAGGTCTGGGGCCGCTGCCAGAGCAACATGCCACAGCGTTTTTAGGCTATGGATTCTCAGAATGGTGGGTGCCCACCCAGGTAGAGCCAGCAGCAGGAGGCACCTGTAAGGTGGATAGCTGGGCTGGGTTTGGTACATTTTCTCTAAGATCCACCCGCTGAGCCCACTGCTTCCCTAGCACACTGACTGGCAACTGTTTAGGTGCAGGAATCTGCACTCTGTCCCACCCTGCAGCAGCCAAATCTTCAGTAATTTCCAAGGGCAGAGCCTCCTTTAAGGTATTCACCACCCTTGTTCTGGTCTTGGCAGCTTCCTGAAGTGAGATGCCTGTCGCCAAGCTCTCTCCTGCGGGACCAGGAAGTGTCCGCTTGGTCTGGACCCTCTCCTGCCCAAAGCTGACTCAACAGAGCGGACAGGAGAGTTCGAAATGTTCCCTGCTTCTGTCTCTACTTCACGTAGCCCATCAGCCCATGCTACTACTTTGCGCTGACTTCAGGCACTTGCCTACCTGCATGGGTGTGGAGGTTGGTGGGGGAAGAGTCATCCCCCCATGGGCAGATCACACAGGCCCAGCCAGCTGGCCACTGGGCGGGGCCGTCCCACGCTCCACTCCCTATTATATTTTTCGGACTCTCTGGACTTTGCAGTAGATTCTCCGATTCACCTTTGTTTTTCCCAACGCCGCTTGTCCCACGCTGCTTCTCTGCAGGTTCACAAAGCTGATCCAGTGGTAGTGCAGTTCACTCATGTGTAGTTGTCCACTTTCTTCACCTCCCACTCTGAGAGCAGAGAGCCAGGAGATCACCCCTAATCCGCCATTTTTCCCTGGATTTTTATCTTGAAATGAGCCATGTTTGCGATCTAAGGCCAAGGTGGATAATGATGAGCTGAAAGCTGTAGTGGAAGTGAATCCATCTCAACCTATGTGGGAATTAGCAGCAAGGTTCGATGCTATTATTTCAACAATATTGGATCATTTGAAACAAATGGGCAAGGTAAAGACACTGGATAGACCAGTTGTGCATGAATTAAACAAGCGCCAGAAGAGAAGTCATCTCGAAGCTTGCCTTTCTCTGCTGTCATGATATAAAGGCAAAACATTTCCAAACCATATTGTTACACGTGATGAAAAATGGATCCTTTTTTACAATTGCAAGCATTTGGCACAATTGGTGGGTAAAGATGAAATGCTAAAACACAGTCCAAAACCAAATCTTCATCAAAAAAAGTTACTGGTGTCTGTTTGGTGGTCTAGCGCTGGTATTATCCACTATAGCTTCGTAAAACCTGGTCAATCAATTACAGCTGATGTCTACCGCAACCAGTTAGAAGAAATGATGAGGATGCTTGTGATTAAGCAGCTGAAATTGGTCACTAGAGACAGGCCAAGCCTCTTGTGAAACAATGCTCGACCACATGTCACACAAACAACACTGCTCAAACTACAGAGGCTGGACTTGGAAACTCTCTGTCATCCATCGTATTCGCCAGACTTTGCACCAACTGACTACCAGCCACTTCTTCCAGGCTTTGGACTACTTATTGCAAGGAAAAATATTCAATCAGGCTTTAGACCACTCCTTGCAAGAAAAAATATTCAATCTTCAACAAGCTGTGGAAAGCACCTTTTGCAATTTCATGGCCACTTGCTCTCTAGGCTTCTTGGTTTCTGGCACAAGCAAGCTACCGTTAAGATGGCAAAACTGTCAATAGTTTAGGCTCATACTTTGATTCATTGGTACTGCTTCTTGTTTCATATATAATAAACTAAACTTTTGATTTGAAATTGGACATTTCATATTTAATTATCTAATAGTACTAGCCAAAAGTCTTGTGCTTGAGCTTCAAGATTCAGTGTCAAAACTTGAAATGCAAGTAAAAAAACCAAAAGCAATTATAGAGGGAAAAGACATAGTAGTAAGTATAATACTTATAGGTAACTTTAAATTTAAAAATATTAATCTCATCATATTTTTTCCTTTGGTTCATTAACATGTATTGGATCATCTAATTTATAGAAATTTTACTATTTGACCTAAAGTATGAATGCCCTCATTGCTGGATAACCAGTCCTAGAGAGCTCTGTGGTGAGGCCTTACCCATTTAGGAGTGTGTGCCTGGTTACTATTTTTACCTTGCTGTCTCCAGCGGTCTCTCTTTGCTATTTTAGCAGTAGTTGATTTTTCCATGCCCAGGAATTGATCACATTTGGATTGTTGCTTACATTCTTACAGTAAATACATAAAATTATGATCTGGATTATGTTGCTGACCAGCTGAGCTTACTTTAGAGGAGGTTTAATTCTGCTCTATAACCAGTAGAACTCGCACCAATGACCCTAGAAATCTGACTCTTGTTAAAAATCTAATCATCAACTGGTCAAGAGACAATGGCATGATTTGCAAGGCTGTATAGCCTTTGCAGTCATGGTCCTAAATGTATTTCAGGCATAGGGAGCATTTTGTTGGTGGTCCAAAGCTGACAGAGCCTAAATAGTACCCAGTTGAAAAAGAAGAACAAATCAAGGGTTCCTTTCTCATCATTCCCATTTGCTTGTCTTCCTTTATCAAAACTTCTGCTTTCATAACACTCTGTAGGAGGGGTTCCATAGTGTAACACCCCACCAAAGGTACCACTGTCCCTCACTAAGTTTAACAGCATTGATTGCCTCTTTCATCATACAGGAGAACAGCCCACATCTCTAAGGTCTCCTAGGTCACAGAGCAAAGCATCCCAAAGGGCTCTCCATTCCTTTTAATAAAGCCACGAGTCTCCACACTTTGCTGAGTAGTAGGCTGTCTGTCATCACCTGGTATTGGTTTAGAACTAACAGCAGTCATTGGGCGCAACTTAGCTCACGGGGTCTCTGAAAACTTTAAGTCCCATCAGCAGAGGACAATAGCAGCAACCAAGGATTTGCTTCATACCTTTTTCAGAGTTCCTCTGTTGGATCTCTAATTTGACCCACCAGGTGTCTTGGCCAGGGAGTCTAGGGCTAAAGAGAAGGACCATTGATATCTCTCAGAGCCAAAAATCTTATGTAAATAATCTGCTAGTGCTCTGCAGGAGTGCCCCCTGGTGTTGGCCAGCACTTCTGGGGACCCATTGATATGACCAGCAAAGTGGCCCATGGGACCCTCAGACTTCCGCAGATGCTCTTCTAGTATCCCCAAGAGGCCCCATGAACTTCAGCATCTCGCACAATGTCCCGGGGATCTTCGTGCTTTCTGCTTTTCCAGAAGGGCATTGTGCTTAATTGACCACCCTGCTCACAGCCATTGATCACCAAGAAAGCTGCCAGGTGTGAAGGTGGTCAGTTAAGACAATGAGCACAATTAAGACAAATTGGAAGTAGCAATTAAGCCTTTAAGCACTTACTGTGACAACAAGAGTCTGAGCACAAAAGGTCACTGACTCTAGGTCAATGTTTCAGTTTTCCCATAAAATGACATTGGGCAAGGAAGGGTAGGATATATTAGCACAGATGGGAGGGGAACATTTCACTATCTATAGAGTTCTTCATACTGTGTCATATACCTATATGCTATATATGTGTTCATGTGTACACATTCATACACATACACACACATATACACATCATTTTATACCATAACTGATGCTATACTATTGTTTATGGTACACATATCAGTTCATTCAACCAATCTCCTATGCTTGAAAATTTTGATGGTGTTGAATATTTTGCAATTACAAATAATAGTGTAATGAATGACCTTGTACTTACGCATTTTTACTGTTTGGTCTATGATTATGTATTAACCTAAAGTGTAAATAACATTAAGAAATTAGAGACTGTAAAACATATTTGATGCCTAGAAATATTCACGAAATAATGATACTTCGTCAATACAAATTAGAAATGTTCTAAGAAAACATTTTTCGTGTCAGATCTAGCATTACAGTAATTTACTTATCACTTTATAAAATGAGTAAAATTGTTGCTGTCACTTGTTATCAATTTGAAATCTAGAGATTTCATAGTAGATCTATTTTTCTATTAATGAACAAAATTTCTCTCTTAACATAGCTCATGATGAAGTACCAGATGAAAATCTTATGCTCACACATCAAGATTCTGTGTCAAAAACCCAATTGCAAATAGAAACACAAAAAAGTTCTGAAGGGGAAAGACTCAGTAGTAAGTATAATAATTACAGATATTTTTATATTATTTTAAATTAAACTCTCAAGAACTTTTTTCTTTGGTTCATAGTATATATGTGAGTATATATTAATATTGTATGGAAAATTTACCACTTTAACCTAAAGTGTGAATATCCTAACATAAGTCAAGAACAAATGCAAAGACACTGATATGTTTAGGTTAGAATTTCTTGTCATAATATTATTATACAACCAAAGTCATGCTCTTGGTATCCACCAAGGACAGTACAAGGCCTGTGATTGTCTCATAAAGGATGGGTGCCTTGCGGCTGACTCTGGCAGTGTACAAGCCCAAAGCCCTTTGGGCACCTCTGCTCTGTGGTAGTCCCAGTTGGCATACAGAGGTGTTGATGAGATCTGTAACTGACACAGCAAAGAGAAATCAGAGGGGTCTGAGAAAAGGGCAGCTGAAGGGTTTCTAGAGCATCATGTTGGTTAGGGCCCCACTCAAAGGGAGTGGTCATCACGGTACATGATAGATGGGTGCTATCTGATCTCTGTGGCTGGAATATTAGTGTGGCAGTAGCTGAATAAGTCCTCCTGGTTGCTCATATTATTTTTATTTTGGGGGTCAAAGAAGGCCAAAATCATGTAAGTTGTCTTCTCTGGAATGAGCCACTATGGTCCTTAAAGATTACACCCAGGAATTTCATTGGGTTTTAGTTCCTTATGCCTTTGTCAGTAATAATGGCCCCACCATGTGCCACATGTGGGTGACCAGAGCATGTGGTTCTTTTTGAGTAGTGTCCTTATTTGAGCCCATTAGGATGATTTCATAAATAGAGTGGAAAGCTAGTACTCCCTCCAGGCATGGAACTTTTTCCAGTTCATAATCTATACATTGATTACAGATAGTTGGGGGAATTTAGGAAGCCTTATTATGGAAGGATATTAGTGGTATATTGCAAACCATCCTAACTAATCCTGATCACCTGTGTGGAGAGGGATACTGAAAGGGCATTTTGTTGTGTCAATTGCTGCGTAATAAGTTCCTTCATCCTGAACAATAGCCTCTGTAAATTTCACTATGTCAGGCACCACTGGTGCAAAGGTAGCACTAACATTAGCTTTGTGGTGCCCTAATCAGTTTAGAGTCTAGGCACCCGGGGTCTTGTACACAGGTCAGATGGGACTATAGAAGAAATAATTTACAAATATTTGGCTTTTTAAAGCTCAAAAAGGAGAGTAATTAATCCTTTTTCTTCCCTGGGCTATTAGTATTGTTTGTGGTAGACAGTGGCACTAGGTACCAGAAGTAGGTCATGACCCATGTCACACTAAAATACCATAACTGCAGCAATCCCATCAGGAGGTGGACATAAATGCTAGTGTTGGTTTTCAGCTATCTCTTGAATATGATTTAGTAACTTTATAATCAATATTCTGAATTATATATCTGGTATTTCAAAGATTCATTTTGCTTTGGGCCCACTGTTAGGGAGTTAGTATGATCATTTGGAGGTGTCCAAAGCAAAAAAACTCTGTTTTTTCATATTACTAGAATTATTTCCCTGGTTTCTTCTTATCTTGAAAGACAATTTGTTTATAGTTTGAAATTAATGTTTTATTATACTGGGACCCCCCACGGCCCCCAAGGTTTGTATAGTTTATAGCTTTGGCTCTGGGTGCTTTCAGTGGCAAAGACTGTATGAGTTCCTTGGTTATAGAAAATCTTTGTGTGGTGGATTTCCTAGATACTGATTGTACTAATGATGCATGAGGTGTGTGAGCAGGTTCACTGTCTCCTGCAGGGCTAGAATGGCAGAGGTCTCATGAAGCTTATCTTGTTCCCCAGTGATGTACACTTGCTTTTCCTCAGCACTTTTTTGATTGGGTTGAACAGTTCAAACTCCTGGCCTGTAGGTGGCACCCATGGCACCTCTGTCCATCTATGAGTGCTGACATACTGTGTAGAGGGTGGGCTGAGCTCCACCCCTCATGTAAGCCTGAGCCCACAAGGCTTACCTCCCTTGTGGGCGCAGTCAACCTGAAGTGCCTCAGGAAGGCCGTCCATAGGTCTACTTGCACTAAGCTCCCCTGGGAAAAGGAAGCCTGGCTGTTCCTGCAGTGGTGGGCAAGGGAGAGAAGTCCTCTTCTCTAAGTCCCTTCATGAGCTTTGGATCTGTCAGTTGCTGGGGCAGAACTGCAGTCTTCCCCCATTGAGCCCAGTATACCTCCCATGGCTCTGCTGAAAGAGGTTTAGTCACCCCCTGCCCACAAGCAAGAAGTTCTGGGACACAGAAAAACCCAAAGCCTGATTGTGTTTGTCAGGGGTGCTGCTGTGGTATGGGGCACTCGGCCTTCCCTGGGAGTAGCAGTTCCTCAGGGCTAGACCACTGAGATCTAGATCCTCTGGGTCTAGCCAGCCTCTGGGGCTGCCACCATCCAGGTGGGTGCTTGGGAATGTCTGCAAGGAATCTGATGATATGAAGACACAGGGCAAAGGTCCCTGTGTAAAATGAAGTCTCACGATATGTGCACACACAGTATGGGGCCTGCTACTACAGCCGGCGTCCAGGGGAAAATGAAGGGACTCTGCACGAGCTGGCAGCCCAGTGTAATGCACTTGTGAAGTCCCCAAATTGCAGCCTACTCCAGTACTTGGGCTCACAAGGGCACAGAAGCTCTCCTTGAGTTCGGATGCCCCAGCAGTTTGCCACAAGGTCTAGAGAAGCCAAAAGCACTCCTGCTTACCGGTTTGATCTCTGCCAGCTTCTTGTTTTTCTTTTCTGCACATTGTATATTTGTCCAGTGAACTCTCTGGTTGGCTCCAGCACTCTCCTCTAACACTCCATTTGGTCTATGATTGTTTACCTGTAATTTTGGTTCTTCCTTCTTTGGAGAATTGGTCATTAATGTCTCTAGTCAGCCATCTGGAGAAGCTTTCCAATGCCTCAGACTGTGGATGGGTCTGTGGGATGTACAGGTGGCTTGGGCTCTGCTCTCAGCTCCAGGGAGGCAATGCTGGATGGAGCTGGATTGGGCTGACCCGTCCTCAGGTTTCCCAGTGGCAGGCGCAAATGCTAGCCCTTATGGGCATGGCAGGGAGACTCTGTAAGATTTCCTTGGTTATAAATAGCCTTAGTGTAGTGGCTTTCTCAATTGCCAGCTGTCGTAGTAATGTACTGGGCAGGTGAGCAGGCTCAAGGCCTCCTGAGTAGTTGTGGTGGTGTGGGCGATGGTATTACCTGAGGTTGTGCAAACGTTTCCTCCTTCCTGAGTGCTGTGTTATTGTGCCAGCAAATGTAATGGGCTATACTGGTTGACCTCCAGCCAGGAGCTGGTGCTTGCAGGAGAGCCAGCTGCCATGGGCTTTATGCTTGGCCTATGTTAACCAGGGGACATACTCAGATGTCTCAGGCGATAGGCTAAATACATTTCATTATGTAGCTCATGAAGAAATACCAGATGAAAATGTTATGCTTGAGGGTTTGTATTCAGTGTTGAAAACCCAAGTGCAATTTAAGAAACAAAGAACTTCCAGAGGGGAAAGACTTGTAAATATAATAATTGCAGGCAATTTTAAATTATTTTAAAGTAAACACATCAGAAGATCTTTTTTATTTGTTTTCTTTCCCTTTGGTATTTGAACATGTATTTTATAGAAATTTTACACTGTGAACTAATGTGTGAATACCCTAAAACAACTAGAGAACAGTAGTCAAAGTATTGATAACCTTTGGTTGAATTTTATGTTTGTAACATGATTTCATGGCCACAGTTCATAGATTCGGTATCTACCAAGGCCCAATAACAGGCTCACAATGATATTTGTCTCACAATGAGTTTGTAGCTAACTGCTGATTCTTAGAAATTATGGGTTCAAATGCCCAATGGGCTCCTCAGACTTGTAGCAGTGTCCTTCTGCCTTAGGGTGCAATTGGTGAACACACAAGTTGCTGAGATCTGTAACTCAAGACAATTGTGGATCACAATGATAACAAGGCAGCCAGTGTGGCCCATTGGAGAGCCCCCAAGGAATTCTGTTGGTCAGGATACCACTCAAAAATAGCAGCTTTCCTGGTAACTCAAAATACGAGTGTGTACTGTTTAGATCCCTGCTTGGGGAATGTGAATGTATCAGTAACTGAATAGTTCCAGTAGTCCCTGGGACTTCTTTGTATTTGTTGGGATAGAGTGGGATAAAGGCTTGGCAATAGTCTCCTCTGTAATAAGAACTTGTACTCCTTTATTCATTGGATTTCACTTCGGTTTTAGGACTTCATACCTTGTCTGTATTAATAGCCTACCTCCGTTGCCACATGTAGTTCAACAGGGCAACAATCTTTGTCTGGTGATCGGGGCCCTTGTCTGAGCCTACCAGAAAACGTGTTCAATGTAGCAGAAGGTTGTTCTCCCTGGGAGTGGGAAATTTTTTCAGGTTATGCCTTATCTGTTGATGGTAGGAAGTCAGGGAATTTAGATGGTCTTATGGAAGGACAGTGGTATATTGCAACCCATTACACATTAGGGAGAACTGTTTTCTGATTATGTATGTGCATATGGATTATGTATGTGGATAAGGGTATTTGTAATGTCAGTTGCTGTATACTAGGCTCCTTTATCTTGAACAATAGCTGCTGTGAAAGTTACAAAGTCAGTACTGCCAATGCTCTGGGTTACATTTTTGCAGTGAACTGCCAATAATCAATTGAGTCTCTACATGCACCAAAGACCCAGTGCACAGGCCAGAGAGGCTATTTAACAGAAAATTAGTCTTGCAGAAAACTTTGGCTTTATTAAGCTTAGAAATAAAGGTAGTTATATCTTTTCTCCTCTAGTCCCTGGATTTTTCTTTTTCTATTTTTTTTTTTTTTGGCAGAAAATAGCACTAGGCACTGTTAAGTAAATTCATGGTCCTCACATGTTCTATAAAGCAGTGGTCCCTAACCTTTTTTGCACCCAAGTGTTTTCATGGAAGACAATTTTTCCATGGACTGAGAAGGGGTGGGATGGTTTGGAGATGATTCAGGC